ACAACAAACAGGGTAAATAAAAGAATCAGGTAAATAGAAAACTGGAACGTAGCATAGCCCCAATCACACACATCCAACAGCTTGGTTCCCCCGGAACACTTTAAGGTAACGCACAGACCCTGAACCTATCAGTTCTGGCTACCTAGATAGAAACCTGAACCTATCAAGTATGTACTAACTGACAAATAGTTGTACCCAGTCTGACACACAGACTCCAACTCCCAACTCTAAACTTCTCCACACCAGCTCCAAATATATATACAGTACAGCTCCTCCCCCCTGATGTCCCGCCTTCCACTCCCCATAGGATGGAACTTTCCCTCCAAACCCATGACAGACAGGTACCATCAGTGCTGTATGTGACAAGGGCCTTCTCTGCTGCTGCTCCCAGAGACTGTGGAACTCTCTGCCACTGGAGGCCAGGCTGGCCCTCTCTTGGTTGTCCTTCCTCAAGTAGGGCAAGACCTTTCTCTCACTTTTGCAAGTTACTTTTGAGAGCATTTTAGAGGCAGTTCCCCAGGAACTTTTAGAGACAATTTTCTGTCTTCGCTCTCCCATGACAAGCCACGGAAATAATAATAAGACAACAATATCTCTCCCTGTGTGCATGCCCCCCCTCCATCCCAGGTTTGTGCCCATGCTTGGGGGCGGTATGGGGAAATCAACAAAGTGGGGGCCTCCGGTAAGATGGGACACAAAGCAAGAAGGCGGCAGCAGGGAGCTGATGTAGGTTTTGCAAGGGGCAGAATTAGAACCCACTGGGTTCCAGGGCAGTTTGCAACAAGCCCTTTCGGAGGCCATTCATTCGTTGTTGTTGTTGCTGTTGTGTGCCATCAAGTCGCTCCCTCCGCAAATGTCCTGTCCTCAACTGCCCTGTTCAGCTGGGCTTTCCATGGGACACATTCTGTGCCTAGATTGAACAGATTAGGTAGGGGGTAAAAGGCCCCTTTGGCTCTCCATCATCTCTCCTAACGGTAGTTTCTTGCCCACAAGACAACCAAATACCAAGGCAGGTCCATTTCTTTCGGAACCACTCCTAGTTTTTCCTGATCCACGCAGTCAAAGGCTTTGCTGTAAGTCTACAAAACCCAGAGTAATTCCCCTGAAATTCTTTGGTGTGCTCCAGTAGCCAACAGGTATTTGCAATACGATCTCAACGGCCCCTTCCTTTTTGGAATCCAGTTTGAACGCCAGTCATTTCTTGCTCTATATAAGATGAAAGCCTTTCTTGCAACACCTTGAGCATCACTTTGCTTACATGGGACATTAGAGCAATGGCCCCGTAGTTACTGATTCCCAGTGTGGTGTAGTGGATAGAGTGATGAACTAGGGCTCTGGAGAACAAGGTTCGAATCCTTGCTCGCCCATGGAAATGGACTGGGGGAGTGGAGCTGGTAAAGCCACTCCTTAAATATCTTACCTACCTTGAAGGCCCTCTTATGGTTACTGCAGGTCAGTTCCAGCTTGGCAACAACAGAACCTACACATCTATAGGTACTGCCCTCTTCAGCATCTCCTTTCTTGGGAACTGGAGTGTATTTTACACCTTCATTCATAGGGTCTCCATATATTAGAGGCCAGTTGAAGTCCCATAACGGAGGCAGAACGAAGTTGAGAATGAGCGTTTGGGGGGCCACTTCTTGTAACGAGAAATCTCTTTACTTTCCTAATTAGGAACCATGGCCTCATCTCATCGCAGGGTTCAGGGGTGGTTCGTGGCTCTGCCAGGGGCGGGATTCTGGGGACGGGAGCCCCAAAAGAAAGTAATGTTTCCAGATTACGGAAAAGAGGGATGAGGGTTTTGAACCCCTGAGCAGGAGCTGGAAGAATTCAGGTGGATAAAAGCATCTCGTTGCTTTGAGGAACAGGAAAATAAACACTATATTTGCAGCCGGGGGGGGGCGGGGAGACGACACCGCCCTGCTTTTCTCATCCCACCGTAACTTTAAAAAAATGAACGGGCCAGGCTCCGTCCCCGTTGTGCGGTGGCTTGGCTCCTGCTTCTCTCTTCCCCACCGGCAGCCTCCCCGTTTGGGCTCCTTGGCCCTTCGGTGGCCTGCTGGGAACCGCCAGCTGAGAACACACAGGGCAGTCCTGATAAGGCTCGGCCGAGTCGTCTTATCGCGAAGTCTCCTTCCGATGGCTTTCCTGGCGAAGGGGCAGCCACCTGCCTGCCAACGCCTTCGGTCCCAGGAGATCCGGCAGGGAAAGATTTCAGCCTTGATTTTTCCACGAGCCGCTTCTTTGATAGGGAAGAGGGGGCCTGAGGACAAGGCTCCTTTTAAAGCAGAGAAGGGGGAAAGTCCCGTTTTTGGACTACAATGTCCAGAATCCCCTGCCCTGCCACAATTGCTGGCCGTCCCAGGCGGGCTGTTCCGGCAACGGAGGTCCAGGAAAGGAACTTTTCTTTGGTTTGAAGGTATAAAGGAGCTTAATAACTCGGCAGCCAGGCACTTGTTATTTCTTGAAATTTATGTTTCACTGTGTGTATTTTCCTTTGATTCATTTTGTAGGTTCAGTTCTCCGGTATCGTATGTACTTCTTGTTTGAAACTGGGAACTGTAGAAGCTGGCATGGAGAAGCCTGTTGAAAAAATACTTTAAGGCAGTGGTTCTCAAACATTCTTGATTTGCAGCTCGCTGGACTTACTGGCCACTGGCTGCGGCTCCCCAGTACAGTAGGACTGCCGTATCCACGGGATCAGTACCCGCAGTTTCTCTTATCCACTGCCTGGAAAAATCAAATCAAAATAAAATAAAACACATGAATCCACTTTCCCAGGGTGTATTATCAGGGCTGGCCACTAGATGGGACCAGCGACAATGCCATAATAGATGGCTTAATCATGGACAAGCTTTTCACCCAGGGAAGCAGCTTCTGGAAAAATGGAGCTGAGTGTTTATCTTATTTTATTTTATTTTATTGCAGGGAGGGTGCAAGAAAGGCTCCCTTGCAAACAGGAGGGCAGGAAACCCAGTCCTTTGACACAACTGGTCCGGGGCTCGCTCTCTGCACCATGCACGGACACCAGGGAAACTGCAAGCAGATGCTGTGCGATATTTTGGGTGATGGAGGGAGGAATGGATGGGGGAAGGAGGAGAGGATTTCCGTGGCACCCCTGGGTGGGTTTCCTGGCGCCCCCCCCCCCATGGTGCCACAGCGCACAGTTTGGGAACCAGTGCTTTAAGGAAAGGAAGCTTGTCTTGTATCTTGGCAAGCATGCGGTGAGCCCCTCCTTGGGGTTCTGCGCCTCCAGATCCCGCCTGGACTGGGCAGTCTGCCTACCCTCGGAAGGGTACCTTCCAAAGAAAGATGGGGCTCAGATAGCCCTCCAGATGGAGAGGGGGGGCAGAAGGCCCTCTCACCTGTCTTCAGGTGAGATTGGGAAAGACCTTTCCAGAGACCTTCGGGCTGAGGGAGGGAACCTGCCCAAGGTCAGCCCCCCTCATCCTCGTGACTGAAGAAGGACTCGGCAGTAGGCTAGAAATCCCGCTTGGAAAAGGAGGGCCTACTCTTATCCACGGGATGTCTAGAGTCCACCCTATTGGTGGCTTTTATAAATGAAGGCTTAATGACTGAAGTCGTTTTATCAACAAGGGAGACTTTTGTTCCACGGGGTCCAATCCTGCCTCGGCACCTCGAGGAGAGCGCGTGTCAGAGGTTTCACCCAGGCCCTCTGTGGGGAGACTGCTGGAGGCGCAAAGCAGACGTTCGGTCACCCCACCCCACCTTTCAATTACTATATTTTTCCGTGTATAAGACACCCCCATGTATAAGACACCCCCCCCCACTTTTCTGACCCAAAATTAAGAAATTTAAGTGGGGCTTAGCAAGTGGAGGGGAAAACATGGATCAAAGCCCTGCAGGATCGCTTTGATCCCTGCTTTCCTCTCCACTTGGTTTTTCTCTCCTCAGCTTACTTCCGTGTATAAGACGACCCTCAATTTTTAGTCTAAAGATTTTAGACAAAAGTATAGTCTTATATATGGAAAAAATATGATAAATTTGGAATGAATAGGTTTGCCGCTTCCAAACGCAAGCTTTCAAGGCATAACATGGGTGAGGCCACGGAATGTGTATTTTTCTTTAGGACTGAAAATACGAACATTATTGTTGTCTAGAATCACAGAATCCTAGAATCATGGCGTTGGAAGGGCCCGCAAAAGGCCATCCAGTCCAACCCCCCTACTCAAGGCAGGAACCCAAGTCAAAGGAGGTCTGACAGGTGGGGACCTACATTTCTCTTGAAGGCCTCCAGCGCTGAAGCCCTCCCCTCCCCTGAAGTAATGGGTTCCCTTGTCGTACTGCTCTAACAGTTGGGAATTTTTTTCCTGACATTCAACCAAAATCTGGCTTGCTTTAACTTGAGCCCATGGTTGTGCGTCCTGCACTCTGGGATGATCAAGAACACGTCCTGCCCCTCCTCTGTAGGACAGCCTTTCAAATATTTGAAAAGTGCCATCCTGTCTCCCACCAGTCTTATTTTCTCACAGCCCAGTTCTTTCCGTCGTTCCTCCTAGGGCTTGGTTTCCAGCCCCCTCTGATCATCCTTGTGGCCCTCCTTTAAACTTGCTCCAGTTTGTCAGCATCCTTCTTGAAGTGCAGTGTCCAGAACTGGATCCAGGACTCAAGATGAGGCCTAACCAGTGCTGAATACAGCGGGACTAGCACTTCACTAGATTTTAAGCTTAGATTTCTGTTAATGCTGCTGAAAATTGTATTGGCCTTTTCAACCACGCCTTGATTCAATGGGCGGATGAAATACGGTGCAGTTGAGGTCCAGCTGCTCTCTTCTCTGGGGAGGGAGGGTAGGAAAATTGGTACTCCCTCTCTTTTGGGATGGCCAGGAGCTGATTGATTATCACTGTGTGAAACAGGCCCATGGCCAAGATGAGAAATGTCCTTCTTGCCTGAGAAACCAGCTGGCCTTCCTTATCTGCCAGCGAGATAACTTAGCAAGGTCAGATCTGCTCTGCTTGTCGTGGCCAGGTGGGCCTTCTCGGGCCCCCTTGGCTTCGAGTCAAGCCAGACTGGCTATAAATATGCCGGTTGCCCCCAGGTAAGTCTCACACACCATCCACCCATCTATCTATCCCTCCTGCGATCCATCCATCACCATGTTCAAGTTGATCTTCCTGACTTTACTTTTGGGCTATGGTGAGTGTCTTGGGAAGGGGTGTCTCAGCTGGGCTGCCGGGTGGCTTAGAGGTGGGTGGATGCTGAAGAGTCTCGTGACTCTCTAAAGACTAACATGAGCTGCTCTTTGGAAGCCTCAGAGAAGTGGGCTGCGGTCCCTGAGCCCCACTGCCCCGTAGAAGGTCTTCCTTCTTAAGCAAGAAAGCTATGCACACCAGCCGTAAACCCAGTTGTCACGCTCAACTAAACTGAACCGATGGCCGAAATCCTGCGGCTTTGTTATGCAGTGGGAAGCCAAAGGGCGCAGCGTTTGCTCACGTCCACCCATCAGTTAAAGAGCCCGTACTGGGATTCTCAAGTGCACACCCCTAAGAAACCCACCAGGGACTCTTTAATGGCCGACCAGGGTGTTCAAACATCTGCCTTCCAGCTGTGCAGCTGCACTACATGAGGTCAGCTGGCAGGGCCTATTTTAAAAGGAGCCTCATGTGGCGCAGTGGTTAAACTGCAGTACTGCAGTCGAACGCTCTGCTCAAGGCATGTGTTCGATCCCAGTGGATTCAGGGAGCCGGCTCAAGGTTAACTCGGCCTTCCATCCTTCCGAGGTCGGTAAATTGAGCACCCGTATCATGGGGTGCAAGAGGAGGAGGAGGAGAACCAGTTTGTTAAAGACAAGCTTTCCTTCCTCTTTCTCAGAAGTCAGCTTAGCTCTTTATTCTTCTTAGTAAGAGGGAGGCAATGTATGGGGTTCTCCTTATGGGGGGCTATCAATTTGCCCCAAAAGGGGCCCACCGCCAGAAGCTTCTCCAGGGCTTTTTCTCTGTATTTGCTCCGGGTGGATTTAGTAAATCAATTTACACAACCCTTCCTTTTTAAGATAAATGAGGAGCTTCCAAGATAGTTAGTGTTGTTTCAGAAACATACACTCAGCACTAGCTCTGCTCAACATCCTTGCCATAAATATCAAAAGCGTTTTTTTTTTAACTCTAAGCAAATATTTCTGTATGGCTGGTTTTTTGTATTTTTTACAAATTTTAGTTTCTTCATTCTATAGCGGACGAAGTGAATGGTCAGGGCTCCGATGACCTGTGTTCGAATTCCCTCTTGGCCATGCAAATGGGGCAAGGATGGCATTTGGAAAAAGCACTTCTTAAGGGCCACCTAATTCGGGTCCAACCTGACATCACCTAGTTAGTAGACACACACGATTCGTTTTTGTGTTTGACTGCTGTCGGTGTTGGCTGGCTGGCTTGTTCCTGAGCTTTGAGTCTTTTTATTGCACCCTTGTCATATTTTCACTCTACACTATCATGGGAGATTAGGAGGACCTCCCTATCCACTGGATCAGCATCCCTGGGTTCGCTTATCCACTGCCTGAAAATATGACATTTTAAAGAATAATGTATTTACCAAAACTAGCCATTGGAAGGAGCCAGAGACAGTGTGTTGGCTAGTTCCGCATTTTAGATGTCCATGGGAGGGCTTAGAACCAATTTCACACAGATAGTGTGCTCCTACTGTATGTACTCTGGAATATGTAAGAAACGATGCCATTGTTCTTACTATTTGTGCCAAATTGTGCTCTTTCCACATCAGACCTTTTTTTCCCTCTCTCCTTTTCTCTCCCTCCCATATTCCCTGCCCTTCCCAGCCCGCGGCTGTGGCCAACCCACATATTTGCCGAACGTCTCCCGGGTTGTCGGCGGTGAAGATGCCAGACCCCACAGCTGGCCTTGGCAGGTAACATACAACAGCCTCATCCTTTTCTAGGACGGGCAAGATTCCTTCAGCCAGTGAAAGTGACACTGCCCCCCCCCCCGCTGCATGTTGCTGGTCTGTGGAACTACCCACCACCAGAGGCAGTAGGAGTAGTTAGTCAGCGCTTCTTAAAAACAAATAGGCACCCTCATCACGAGGAGGAAGCACGTTGCAGACTTTTAGGAGAGCGGAGGATCCGGTGTGGTGAACTGGGTCTCAGTGACAGCCTGGAAAACGGATGATAAGGATTCTTGGACTTATTGTAAGTCCACGAATCCTTGTGCCCTCGTGGCGGCGAGCGGTCTGGTTTGCTCAGGGATCCTGGGCTTCTCCATTCGGTGCCCTCAGTTAAAAGTTTGGGCCTTGAGGTACACACAGGGTGGCGAAGGGTTAGGGTTTTAGGAGCTCCCTACAAGATGTTTTGTCATGCGCGCGCATAGACACACACGTCTGGGTATGGAGTTACTTCTGCTTGATGCAGCCATGCAGGTCTCAGAGCTGTTTTCACACAAAAACACTACGCGCCTAGCACCTCTTTGCTTGAATCGCACATACTGCAGTCCCGAACATTCGAGCCACACCTGCAGATTCAGAGTTCTGCCCTTCATACCATCAGCCCACGACTGTGAGAGATTCACTTTGAAGAACGTAGAAAGAGCACCAGCTTTTTCTGCCCTTGTTTCCCTTCTCCTCGTTTCTCTCTTACCGGAGGCTTGGACGTCAATCACGGCTGTTTAGACTTTGGACGCAGCAGTGGTGATATAACGATCTAATGCTGTGTCCCATCTTTTTGTCCCCGTGCAAACGTCGGCGTTTTCATTTTTAGGTAAAGGTTCCCCTTGACATTTTTAGCCCAGTCGTGTCCAACTCTAGGGGGCGGTGCTCATCCCATTTTTCAAGCCGTAGAGCCAGCGCTTGTTCGAAGACAGTTTCCGTTGTCATGTGGCCAGCGTGACTAGGGAGCGCTGTTTTACCTTCCCACCGAGGAGGTACCTATTTATCTACTCGCATTTACATGCTTTCAAACTGCTAGGTTGGCGAGGAGCTGGGACAAAGCGACGGGGAGCTCACTCTGTCGTGTGGATTTGATCTTACGACTGCTGGTTTTCTGACCCTGCAGCACACAAAGGCTTCTGCGGTTTAGCCCACAGTGCCACCACGTCCCACTGGTGGTGATGCAATAAAGGTCTCAACCCAGTTTCAGGAATGATTTGTATTGCGTGCGTTTAATTGCAATGATTCGCTAAAAATTATAAGCCATCATCTTCTAACAGCTTCTGCAAATCATGACTGACTCCTGGAGATTTTCCCCTTGTTTGTTAACCGCATTGCGCTTTAGATTTTGGAGTTCTCTAATTCTGATCGCACACCGATATATGGTACAAGTTAATCTGTTGATCTGTTATCGTTGCACAACTCTTTAATGTACACTACAATCCTGCCTAACAACATTCCAACTTCTGAGACGCTCATCGAAGCTGTCCGAGGCTGCTCTTGTAACGACGGGTTTAACGCTCTGGCCTTCACACCTCTCTGTCTTTGTGGTGAACCTCCAGATCTCCCTGCAGTACCAGAGTGGGAACAGGTGGGCCCATACCTGTGGTGGATCCCTCATTGCTCCAAACTGGGTTTTGACTGCTGCCCATTGCATCAGGTAAGCCAGATGACACGAGCATGGCAAGGTCGCAGGCCCTCTCCCATTGTTTAGGAGGGGCAACCCTGTCCAGACCTCAACCAGAGGGACCGCCGGCTAGAACTGGGGCTGCCGGGTCCCCACTGGGAATGCCAAAGCAAAGCGCACACACGGAAAAGCTCTTGAATTGGTTTCGTGTTGTTATTTTTTTAATTATCCCCATCTGTTCTCCACGGAACTATTGATCCAAGTTATTTTCCTGTTATTCAGAGGAAACCGTTAAGTGCCAAATTTCAGAAGAAATATGTAGTAAGTCAAAATATTATGTGTTACTTGGAGGACATGCGGATTTTTAATTATGATGATGATCATCATATAACTGGTAGCATTTGTGTTATTTTTTTTAGTGCTACAACATTTGCCCATTACTTCTAAAATGTTATTGTTAGGGGTAGCATAAAAGCAATTTATGGTCATGTTTGTATTAATTATCGGGGTTTTTTAAGTAACTTAAAATACTGAACAAAATCCTATTGCACAAATATGCAAAAGTGTAACTTTTTGAGGCAGAGGGTCCCAAGGAAAGAAATCTCTGTAGATCTCGGTTGCACACGAAGACAGACTCGCTGGAGGCCAGGTGCCTCCAAGGTACGCCTTTCGTGTAACGCTGCCACAGGATTTCGGCCAATACCGTATGTGGCAACAAGTTACTTTTGAAAATAATGAGTAACCACTAACAAAATACTTTAGAAACCAAGTTCTCAATTAATGATATTCTTTGATAAAATACTGCGATGTTTATGTCTTATTTTTTATAAACACACAGGAAGAATAGACTTAGAATAATCTTAGAACGGCAGCGCTGGAAGGGACCCTCGCGGTCATCCAGTCCAGCCCTTGCCAAGGAGGCCCCGCGGGGGATTCGAACTCCCAGCCTCTGATGCCTCTAAACCACTGAGCTATCCAGCCTTGCATGACAGAAACGTAACCCACAAAGGAACAAGAAGCAGTCAGGCCATAGAAACATAAATATTGCTTTATGTAGTGTTTGATCAATTGCACACGTGTGTTTTTCCTGAGGAGTGAGGGAAAGTTGCATTGTGACTCAAATCTCCTGTTTGGGCTCGAACGCTGGACAGGAGTTGTGAGAGTCACACACCTCAAGATGGAAGTGCAACACCAAGAGTGGAACTAATCTTTGGGACAGTAAAGGAACGACACGGATCTTTAGTGGTGATATTGTGGTTTGAGAAATGTTTGGGTTTTGTTATAATTTCCAGAACCCTCTTTTTCTGGGAGTTGTAGACCAAAAATAAGATTCCTAGTGTGGTGTAGTGAAGGACTAGGACTCAGGGGACCCGGGTTCAAATCCCCGCTTGGCCACGGAAGTGAACTGGGGGAGTGGAACGGGTGCACCCCATCCTTGAAATAGCTCACCATGAAACCTCATTAGGGTTGCTATAAGTCGCTTCCGACTTGAGGGCACCAAACACACACAGAAGACCAAAAACCCCAAACGTTTCTCGTCTATGGATCTGTAAGGGGAGAAGGGTGATCGAAATATTCCCCCCTGTGCCTGGGATTTACTGCTCTTCTTTCCTCCCTTCCTTTTCTACGGATAACTAGCTCCAGACTGACGTACCGCGTTGTTCTGGGCAAGCAGAACCTCGACGAGGAAGAGGCCGGCTCTGTGGCTGTCGCCGTGGAGAAGACCATCGTCCACGAGAAGTGGAACTCCATCTTGATCATGTAAGTCCCTTCGGGTCACCAGGAGGGCTGGGCGAAGCCTGCCGGGGGCCCAGGCTCATCTCCAGGCTCATAACTGAAAGGAACTAATTACAAGCCGTAGAGTTACCCGTCTCTGGGTGCCTTTTGTCCCTGTGGCAGTGGAAGGAAGTGACCATTCAAGGGGAGCCTAAAGGAGCCTCTGCCGAGGTTTCTTGGCTTCTTGGTCTGGTATAATAAGTAAGATGTCACAACCATTTTCAAAAATGAGTTCAAAGGTCATTTGAAAGCATTTTAGGGCCATTTTCATATATGAACTGCATCCTGGACTATTGTTATCAGCATTTCCCCCACTATCCAGACAATGCCCCTTTCATTTCATCTTTTATTGACATATGATATTTGTTTGATCCTTTTCAGTATTTGTATACTTATGGTTTTTAACTTTAAATATTGTCTTTTAACCTTTCTCCCTTATTATAAATAAATAAATAATCAGTTAGTACAGTCATATTTTCTGCAACTTTCCACACCTTTTTCTCCATCCTGAATTATTATTATT